TAGGGTTCGAGCCCACCCAGTCTTGCAGTAGCACTTTACACTTTGCAGGTGTGAAGCGCATACCAAACCGCGAGGCAGAATTATTTAGATTATTTAGTATTGTTTGCGTTGCCACGGGGTCAGATCCTAGAAGAGCCATGTCGTCTGCGTACTCGATGTCTGTGAGCGGAGGCCCAGCGAGCACTTCGACCCCATAGGCATTAGAGGCTGGTAGTGCGTCTTCCATGATCGTATCGATGACGAAGTTGAAGAGGAAAGGTGAAAGAGGTCAGCCCTGTCGGACACCACTTGATGTGGTGAACTTAGGAGAAAGCTTCCGGTAGACCTTTACACGGACGCGGGAGTTGGCGTACAGCGCCTTAATGAGGTTCAAGGATTTAAGGGGGACACCTTTGCTCCACAGACACTGCTGGCTGTATAATTGTTTTATATCAAACAGTCTTTGGAATAAGTGTCTCGGGTATTGTGTCGTAGGAGTGGCAAACGGAAATAAATCACACGGAAACCACGAAGGATTGTGGTGAAATTGTGTAAGTAGCGCAAAAACAGTCTCGGAAAATAACTTTACACGGAAAGGGCATTTGCTGATTATTTCGTTTCAAAAGCTAGTCGCATATATTTTTAAACAAATTCACTGTGCTGAAGTAAAGCGAGTGACAAGTGAATTACGATAATATTGTGAGCTGCGATTTTGGAGCAGAATCTGTTGCAAATGGTAGCTGGTTAAGTTAAATCCCTGCTGGTATTTGCAATCATTTTGTTTGGCAAGCTCGGCTGATTTAGCGTTGTACGGACTGCAATGGAACAACAGCGTCGTAATCTAAGTCTGTAGATCGTGGCCAGCTTGCAGCTGTCTTCTTTCCATTCAAATCGTAGCTATGTTAACAATCGAGATCTACCCCGAGCAGCATAGGTGTGTCAAGGGTTGGGCAATGGTGAGGCTTGGATGCACCAGTGTTTCCGAGTTGGAGATACCTCAGCTGATAAATTACAATCTCATCGCATGTTTTAATGATGTTCTCGGTGCGAGTTGTTACAAAAATTCAGACAGTGGCCGATTAACATATCGCCAGAGGGCGAGATGGCCCAAGTGGTTAGAGCGCGAATTTACTGACCGGAAGGTTCATGGTTCGAATCCGACCTCCGCCACTCGACTTTCCCTGTCTAGGCTTGGGCAACCTGGCAGTATCCTAGCCCTCGTGCTTCCTTCGGGTGGCATGGCAGCTAGGCACTAGATGGGTGCTACATCTGAACGCTTCTTTTCTTCAACATATCGCCAGAATGCTTGCATTCAATTTCCTTCCTCCCAGTAGGTACTTGGCATTATAAATTTCGCATCACACTTGGGAAAATTTCTTGCTATAACACTCGAGTTTTGTAATATTTCCAACGAACGCTGTTAGTACACCCTCAGGGACATCTAACTATCGTCTAGGAGAGGGGCTTCAATATGTGAAAACATCACCTATTCCAAGTGGTACTTTCAGGCTGCGTGCCAAAATACTTCGCTGCATTTGTCATACAACACTGCATTATAACTGCTTATAACTGCATTTCGGTGGACACTCTATTCTGTAGACTGAAACGGAGAGAAATCTGGCATATGTATTTCGAACACTTCAGAACAAGGGGTCATCGGACATTTCTGCTACAAATAGACGTTTTATAATCTGTTCTTCGACCTCAAATGACTGCATTCATGTACCAGTGTTAAAAATGGGTTTGACGTAACACAACCTCAGAGGCAAGACAGTGGTGGTTGACGTGAGTCTTGTTTGTACCTGCCGGAAAATTTCACGAATATCCGTTTCGACAAAGTAAACCAGTACGCCTCTTGCCTGAAAAGAATTTCCCTCTAAGGTCACTTTCTAGGTAGCCCATTCCTCTGAGTGCGAAAATGCTGATCTTTTGGCAAGACAGTCGGAACTCATCTATATTCAAATGCTAGTTCCAGCTCTTGTGTCGCTCACCAGATGCATGTATTCCTTATGTTGGAACTGTCGACCAAATGTAGCCATCACAACTCATGTGATTCCATGTTAGAATTCTGTGATCCCGGTAGTTACCGCTAAAAATAGCACGACCTTCTTAGCCGATCTGCATTACCCCAATGCGGCTGAAAATCGACCAAGCGTCGGTCACGAACTAGCAACGGCTGGCTCAGGTCGAACAAAACAAGTAACCGCATTATCATTAAATCAAGGGAGGACAAAGTTTAAAATCAGACAACAAATCATTTGAATACTGGATGGATTCATCGCTGGCGTGTACTCACAACACCAGCCCATGTACGCCCTTAACCGTGAAAAGTGCTGTACAAAGTGAAGACACTGAGGAAGCATGTTTAAACTCAGTGGAATTGCCCCAGAAGTGTGAATACGGATGTCTGTGCTGGATTCAGTCTGGTCGACGATAGCAGTGTTAAACAGACGGGCACTATGGTTTTCGTTTTTTTTCTCAGTCTAACGGTACAATATTCGCACGGTCACAGGAGCTTCCAGAGTGTTGACTAGGACAGCTGAATGGACGATTAAGTTAAATATATCCGCCTGCAGCTAATACACAGAAATATTCAGTCAAGCAACTCTGCGTGAAATATGAACGGTCTGTGGTTTGTAAGTGGGGTAATCACTTGGGTGCTTTCTTAGTCCAGTACCCGTAATACACACTTTCAATGTGAGGGGAGGTAGGAACTCAAACCACCGGTTGAATGCGTGTGAGCTGCATATGACCATATGATTTCGCTTCATTCGATTGCTTACACTGTTTGGATTACTCGTCCGGCACTTGTAATGTGTGTTCGATGCGTAGGAAGTTCAACTATCAAAGAACATTAAATTGTATCTGTGAAATGCGCGCGGACCTGGCACATTCTCTCGGTTGACTCTAGTGATGCGCGCACAGACTATCCAAACCATTATCAGCTCGGAAAAAAATGATGTGAAGACGGGAGACTCAAAAGGGCCACCCAACTTTTGTTACCACAAATCAACTGTGCATTTGGAGGACTGTCTCAGGTTTCAGCTGGGTTAATACGCAAGATATTGTAGTACGTCTTTATACATCCTCATATTAAACATGCTTTTTTACATCTCAAGGGCAAGCTGTGAATACTTACCACTATTGGACAAAATATACAATTGTTTGACTGACGAGTGGAAAATATTCTAATAGGGCAAATTAAACAGGTTTTTAGCTGCCCCACAGACTTGATAATCTGTACCGTAGGGCCAGATAGACGCAGTTTACAAACCCATTGAACTGACTCAGTTGGTGTTATGGATGGTTCTATGGTCAGTATAACTTCGGGAGGGAAGGGAAATCGGTTGTTTCTATCTGGTCATGTCGACCTGAGTGGAAACAATAAGCAATCCAGACAAAGTAATCTGATTCAGAAGGTTAACGAAAAGCTCAGGAAACGTACCTGCATACTTTTTCAAAATCGTCAGACTCGAATAATTATGGCCCCGCACCCGCTCTCTCAAACTGAGGTTTTTTCGAGCACCTTCTGGGAGTTTGAAAAAAAAAACATTACAAGCGATTGATTGATAGCGTTATCATTCGTCTATACGTGACGTCAATCCCGCTTCTCATGTGTCCATAGCAAAGCGTTATAGTATTGACAGATTAAAATGAAAACTTCTATGGATCCCTGAAGTCGGTACTTGCGAGTCGGTAATACTAACTTTACAGTGCTGATCCTGGAGTTAACAAAAGTGGTCCTTAACCTAATGCCTGCCTTTTACTTGGCACTTTCAGGAAAAGTCATTTTATTAACTCACTAGTTCCAATGATTCGGTGTATTGAGACCTGATTCAAGAATACGTTTAGTAGCGTATTCTCATAAGATCCGTTTTAGTTGGTTCCTTCAGACACCCTTAAATAAGACCATTCGAGCCGTCTTTGTTTGCTATCCATTCAATATGTCAACACTACTTACAGGTTTTGCCGCGTAAAGACATATTGTACCTTGATATTTGTTACACTTGTGGATTTCCGAAAAGCTCAGTCGAATAGCGTAATTCAGAGTGGTGGAGCGCATTAACAAGACGGATGAGATCTAGCTACTAAATCTTATTTTTTAGTACCTAGAAATCGACGGTGAAAGTCTGACGCCTGAACTTCTCGTTGCACTCGGAAGGGGCCAGTTCAGGATAAAGGTGAGCTGAATTTGGTGACATATTCATCAGTTTTCTACAATAAACAGGTATGAATCCATTCAGTTGGCCTTCTTAACTTTAATGAAAAGGAAACAAAATCAAACTAATTTTAATGTGGAATTCTTCTACACAAATTGGAAAAATGAAGCAAAATCTAGCTAATGAATTGGCTAATGAGTTAGGTTTACTTAAATACCACGTGGACCTCTTCTGTGCGTTACTTGTTACCTCCGTGCATATTTCGGCAGCAAACTAAAGATGATGATTCAGGCTGAAGTCGAGAGTGAGGTGACAATGTATAAAGGTCACCTCCCATCCTCTGCACAAGCACTGTTGGACTGATACCACATTGTTTAACTAGACGAATTCGTACAGTATTTTGGGCGTCAAGTAACTAGAAGTGTAAAGTGCAATCGACGCACTTGACGCACTTGACGCACTAGCTCCATATATGTTGAGAAGGATTTAAGCTCTCAGCTATCAGGAATTGTCTACACTTACACTTCATCATCTTCAGTAGTTTTCAGTGTTCATGGCCGAACCATTGATAGGTCATTAATTGGTAAACACCACGCATCAATGGAGACGTATGACGAAGTGATGAATGAATCCTGGGAAAGGAGGGAGCAAACAGAACACTTGAATTTCCGAACTGTCAATGGTGATTAGGTTAGACTCAGGTGACTCGCAGCTGAATCTCACGTTTATGATATTCCGCAGCTGAACGCGCCGCTTAGATACCACCTACTCTTTCAGCTGGTTCTATATTCTACTTTTATTTTACTGATAAAAAAATCTACGTTTGTGGGCAGTCAAAGAGTATTGAAGTAGTGTGTCATACCAAGGGCATATGAGCCGTCACATCTCAATGCTTACCGCACTGCCTGTCGAGGGAAGTCATGTTCTCTGGAGAGAACCAGTTCACTAGTTTTCTTCAATCAACCAAGCAGAGTTAGAGTAAATGACGCTTGGGCAAAAGTGGTTAGAAAAAAGACACATGTAGGATGTTGGGATTGTCTTGAATATATCACCATGCACGGAAGAGTTTTGTCTAGTGGAATTTCGCAAGTCAGGAATTATGAATACAGAGAAGGCAGTGTCTGCCTAACTACCGCCGTTGGATGCCGATTTTAGGGATCAAGCGAACTGCACAAAGAATTCTGAGATGATTAGAGTACTAGGGAACAGTAAGATCGATATAAAAGACTCTGTATAAGTACAAACTTAAAAGTAAGACGACACCGAAGACGGATTCCACATGCGTACGCCAGGAAAGATTAGGAGTCACGCGTTTGATGACGAATGCTGCATGTTTTTAGCCTCGTTTGAGGTAACCTAATGAAAGGAATCATTGGCTATTATCCACTGTCACTCTCCTCAGTGTACGTAGGAGGAGGTGGAGCGATTTGTGAGTTTACAAGAAATTCTGCTCCATTTTTCGTAACTTCATGTTTACTTTAATCGCCAAGTACCATTACGATTCTCAAAAGTCATTCACAAGCAAAATTTTGTTTCTTTTACCATAATTTTCCCATTGATAAGTCCATCCATAGCATTTGACCAGTAGCTTCAAATTTGATACTTTTTCAGGTCGTTTGACTTGATAAAAGTAAAATAGAGAAGCCAAAAGACAACGGTATGGAAGTTTATTGACGTTTAACTTTTCTTACGGATTCAGAAACAAAAAAATCAGTGAGTTGGAGATATAGGCTTATAGAATTACTAAATTCATCTCAGTCTGTCTTAAACTTGCTTCCACATGCATTTTTCACCGTCCATAATCACTGTTAGTGCTAGCTGGGAAACACTCTCTGCCACATACATATTCTACCACTCTGTGACTACCTTTCTGTTGTCGCGTAACTTAAAAGTCCAGCTTGCAGAGCAAACAGCAACACAACCGTAGATATTACTAATCAGTGTGCCAATTTATCACAACCTGCTGCTTATTACTTACACATAGTTACTTTCTGCATCTAAATAAAATAAACTTAGAAGACGCAGAGTTTGAATAGACTCCTGTTCACTGTATCATACGAAGAACGATTCAGCAAAAATCTTCAGGTCTCGATGCTCACAGCTTTTCTTCTTTCCAAACACAACTTACAATCCGTTCTTTAATTTCAGTTGAGTGAAGAATCAATCAAGCGTGTTAAGGATGCAAGGAAAGTGGTTGAGGACCTAATAGACTCAAACAAAGGTAAAATAATTTACTCAGTCTATTCATGAGTAACTTTGTTTCATTCTTCTCAGTTGCTTATGGAATAAACACCGGTTTTGGAATGTTCGCCTCCACCGTGGTAGACAAGTCAAAACTAAGGTGAGTATTTCATAACCAGATCTGCTGATCTGGAAGAAAATGTCATTTACAATAGAGTAAAAGTACCCAGAAAACCCTCTCCGGTTAAAAGTAGGTACGATACATGTTTCGCCGAATTTTTTACTACCATGGATTTCCTTCTGTAGAACTAGAGATTTCAGCCGGCTGAAAGAATCACTTAGTTGTTGCAAAAGAACCTGGCTCAATATTTTCTTAAAAATAGGTTATTTTTTAGCATTACCGACTTCAAGCGGCAGCTTGACGAATGCTAGCTCTTGTCTTACTTGAAACGAGCCTAGCACTATACACTTCAAATACCTCTAGGTAGAATTCATTTGATCTCAACTCTGTTTAGCAGTATGAAAAACAACCGTATTATGGTCCTGAGTGCACACAGCCTAATAGGGTCTTTCTCGGTCGTTTGTTTGTTCACTGAGGTAGGTAATTTAACTGCCCCCCAAACCAACCTATTTTTTCACTTTGCTTTCGTGCTCTTATGTTTCACTGGATTACTTGGCTTATAGTAATTAACCACAGAATTTTATATGGGTTTCACGCAATATGGAGGCCTGAAATTCTTTGGTCAACTACCAACGTTTGCCAAAACATACTACCTGATGTAAGACAGATATACATTCAGAGTTGTACACACTTACATATGCAATTTTACCCGGAGATTGTCATATTGTTGTAACTTACAAAGATCTTTGGAACTCTCATGTACAAGAGACCGGACGATCATTCGGCTGCGTAGTGGATTCCTTCCCAATTTGATAAGCAAGGCTGTTTTAAATCCATCCAATTCTTTATTTTTTAATGTACTTCAACTGAATATGCTTCATAGAGGCCGCTTCCTATTCCAATTTGGAAGACATTTAAGATATTTAGGTAGACTTCCATGCTACTCGTAAGGTCGATGAAAACTCCGGGCTGTGTGAGAGTACTGTGCTAATTCTCCGCTTTCTGGGTTTAAGGTCGATGAAAACTCCGGGCTGTGTGAGAGTACTGTGCTAATTCTCCGCTGTTCTGGGTTTCCATCCATCGCGACTGCTGCTGACCCTCAGTAAACTAATCAGCCATTTTCTACCCATGCTGAGCATATCTCCGTAGATTTCTGCTTTAATTCTAGTCCAGCTGACAATACTTTGGTCTGCCTACGCGTCAACGAAAGCTTCTTGCCATTGCGGGAATGCTTTGAAAAGTTATGCGTTCGACTTCTCTGGGTAATGATTGACCTCTTCCTCTAGATTCTTTTCAATTTTTTCAGACTTGATTTGCTATACAGTTGTTGGGTTGGTGATGATGAATATCTAAAATTTCCGATTTGTGAAATAGTGATCCTTGCATGATTGTAGCCCCCTTAAAAGCTCGTGAAACTTCACAGAAAACCCTCGAGATCAAATGAAATCTTCATAAATCTGACACAAAAACCAGTGTATCCGAAGGAGCTGGTAAAGCGCAATCTCGTGTCCATTTTTTTGTCTTGTTTTTCTAATGGGCGAGATGAGGGTTATGATCCGTTAGAGAAACTGATAATTCCGTTTTTATGTTACGATTAACCGGTGTGTTTGTGGAATACACTTATTTACAAACGAATTTCGTTTTATGTGTAATTGTTCTTTGCATATTTTGAGCAGAGAACTCCAAATTTCGCTCATTCGTTCACATGCTGCTGGGGTCGGAAACAGGATCGGACTCATGGCCACTCGCATGTTATTTGCTCTGCGGGTGAACGTACTGGCGAAAGGTTACAGCGGTATTTCACTGGAAACTCTGCAGCGAATGATCGACATCTATAACGGTAAGTATGGTGGTCAAAAGCAGGCTTGTCTCGCAATCGATTCCGAAGTTAAGTTGGAAACTGCAAGATCCTCAAAAACTCACCATTACTTCAAGCTGGTGTCAGAGCATTACCAGCATGCATGTCACGCAATGAAATTTTCTGTATTATGGAATCAAATGTAACTATTACTACATCATCAACCTCGTCTAACCCTAATACGAACAAAGTTGACAAATTGGACTCGATATAGTTAGCCATCGACTGACCATTGGCGAATAGTCACGAGGATCCTCCTCTATCATCATTGTGGATCTTGTGAATACCAAGTCATGTACAAAGATGTAATCATATCCCGAAGAGCACCGAGTGGGAATAGCAGGAATGACTAAAACTCAGCAAGAAGTTTCTATCAATTCCAATGCTAAATCAGCCGTGTGATAAGGTTGTTGACGTGCAGACGCAAATATCCGGTCACATATTACACCTGTGGATTCATGACTTGAAATCTGTTGTAATTAAGCAGGCACTTGTTCTGAAGGCACCCAACTGCTAAATTGGGACTTTTTCACTGCCAAATCCAATCCACTAGCGTGTGTCGCGTTGTTGTGGGAATTACCCTCACCGAAAACGTTTGACAAAGTGAAGTGTATTCTGTCGAAATCACTGGTGCACTGGCATTGGTAAGTGAATCTGTTTGATAGGTAGTGTTAACAAATTTCTGTTTCCTTAAGTAAGAGCTAAAATACACCTATAATATGATGATATTCTGGCTAGCTGCCTGGTAGCTGAAAACTGCTTGCAATCGTTCTTCAGCTTCCTGCTTACCTTGGGTACCAGAACAGGGATCAGTTGGAGCATCGGGGGACCTGGCACCTCTCTCGCATCTTGCCCTCGGACTTATCGGTGAGGGTCGCATGTGGAGTCCAGTTACCGGTTGGACGACTGCCAAAGACGTAAGTCTGGTGGAGTACATTTGCATTGATTTCATGACTTCGACAAAAATGATGGTGAATCTACCGAAACCTAAGATGCCGACATGCGAATACTCAGGCACAGCTTGAAAATAGCTTCTGGGCGATAGTCTACTGCTTACTTTGCTTTGCTCTGATGTCAATCATCGACCACATCTGCTCGTGGTAAAAGCTGTTCCACTGAGTTCGATTGCGTTTGCTGGAATTTTTACTAGCTGCAGCTGGTTTTGAATTCTAGGCAGCCTATTTTCTTCGTCAGCTGTTCAGCTGTTTCTTGTTATATTCCCTTTCAAATGGAATATTTTCTGAGTGAATTTTGATACATTACTTCATCTGAAACAAAGGGATGAGTGACATTTCTGCTAATCACTGGTGTCTTACCTTCTCGTTGGTTGTTTTCTTACCTGCAGCCCACTGATTGACTTGTTCCATTCTGTCGAGCAGCATTGCAGCATTTGCTGCAGCACACAACTTAAACTTAGTGAATAGAGACCGCTGGGTATTAATAAATCCACCATGATATATCAATGGAAAATCTCAAACTTAAAGTAAGGCTGCCAAACTCGCAGTTTTCTTCCCTCACCTATGCTATCTTTAGGTCTGAAATTGTGTTACTGCGCAATCGGGTGAGTAGTTGTTTTGGTCTAATGAATAAGCCAGACAGTTTACCTTAGTCACATCCGTTCGTGTGTGTTAGCCTTGCTATACTTTGCAATCCAGCTTTTGTGGTATCTTTCTTGCTACAGGCACTAGTCGCGAATGGTCTGGTACCGTTGGACCTAAAGCCCAAAGAGGTACGTTCGTCATAAATAAGCAGTAAAGTACAAGAACACAGCTGATGAAAACCCAATGCAAATATTTTGGAATTAGAAATGAGTCACCCTGTGCCATCTATCTTGAGATGCCCAATACATTTTTTTGTATCTAATCGAGGATCCAGCTAGGTTGGTTGATCGGAACTTGTTGAGAATTTGACTACCAGTGGATGCTCAGAGCTACTCCCAACTTTCCATTGTCTTCGATATCAAAAAATTGCCAAGCCAAGAGTTTACATCCTTTAAGATAATGAAGCAAAAGTGACCAATTTCAGAAAAGCGATCTACTTCGCAAATGATCCCGAGTGGAACTAATCAAGTGGATACAGCTTGATTCGAGTGGATGATCTTCAGGTTCAAAGTTCAGATCCTCAGTCACAAAGTCAAATGGTCGCTGACCTCAAGTGTGCGCACGGTGTATGTGGGTTGAAATGGACTTCGCTTGATCTAAGCTAAGAAACCCGGGTCTGAAATATAGTTTCACAACATGTTCTACGTTGTGCTTAGATTCATTCCTTCGGCAATGCACTAGAATACGTACTGAACAACTCCCCATCATGCTTCCGCTTGCGAAACGTGGGTGTTAGACCATTCCTTAAGTAATGGATAATAAATTTTGAGTTGACTGATCGACTCGTCAATGCTGCAGAGTTCTCGCAGTCATCAGCAGCTGTAGTGTATCCTTGCTTTAGGCGTAGGCCAATATCGCCACTACTAACTCTAACGCTTCACTGGACGGGGCCGATAATCGCTGCGATTAGTAATGACCACCAGCCCGTACAGTAGTAATTCCCATCAAGGAAAGCCATGAATCTGAGCTTCAACTATTTTTCTGTGGTTTGAAAATGGGTGATGAACAGACCGAACCTGAATCAGTTGGGTTTTTTGGGCGGGGTTATGTGTTATGCGATGTGTGGCTGGAAGTGGTTTCTAATCGATCGACCAACTGCTAGATGAAACCTAGTCACACTACTGCAAATATCGAAACCACATGGTCATCATCCTTCGACGCAAGGATGCGATTTCATAACTATGAACTTTGTATTTACAGTTTGAAGCAAAATAAAAACGTACGAACAACTGGGTGCAAATTAAATGAAGCTCCAGTTTCGGTGAGCTAAACGTACAAAAATATTAGAACAAATACTTAAGACTAGCATTTCTATGAATTCGTCAGGATTGGTAAAAAAAACTCCTGTTCACCATAAAACTGTGTTTCATATGAACAGGATGGCTGAATGCTTATAAGGCGGCCACTTGATAGGCTATTTTCTCGCCACTATAATGAATATCGGAAGTTTGGTTCATTTTTTCGTTTTCCAACACTTTCTTCAATATATTACTTTATTCCAGGGTTTATGTCTCATCAATGGAACACAGCTGATCACCTCGATTGGAGCCCAAGGTCAGTGGATCATAAGTCGTTTGTGGTGGACTGATAAACATTATCATTCAATGTTTGGATTGAATTTTGCTAACACTAACATCTGTGTAGTTATCAAACTGTATTATATATATATATAATGCAATAACTGTGGGCGGAAAACTATATACTGAAGTGATAGTTTGTCTTGCTGGGTCGAGAAAATCATTTTGGTATGCGACCCATATGTTGAAGGTTGCCCAGCTGCATTGCATCGATTGACTTTAATCTATAACCATGTTGGCCACTCATTTTCGAACCATTATAAGGTTCGCCTTGGTCTTTTGAATGGAATTCACCGTTGAATGGTTGGCATGACGAAATGTGTACTAGATTTGTGCCACGTAAAACTTCCGGCATTTCGCTGAATGGTTGGCTTTTTCGATTACTATACAGTGTTTTGGATTGGATGACAGCTGGAGATTTGCCCTTGAGAAGTATGCTAATGTCATGCGTGTAATCAATGCTACGCTCCAAGGTAACTAAATTTCCGTGATTCACTCATGCAGTAGGCTTTGGCCTTCAACACATCTCGAAGTGTTTTTTAGCTCACCTTGTTCACACTATAACACATCAGGGTTACCCCATATTCCATTAGAAGTTCAGGCAAAAATGTAGGAAGCCATATTGAAATGTCACAGGAGTTGTAAAAAGTATAAGATGTCAGCATGTAAATTTAGCGATAGCATGATTCTTCATTTTATGAAATCTTCAATTTACTCAATAACAACAAGAAAGTTATACTTTCTCAAGGCAATGGAAACAGAAAATTACTGTTCACATCCCGAACAGGCAACCCCTCATCACCATTTGACAAGGTCCATCAGTGAATAAACCCCAATGGAGTTCCACTTCCATGCTGTATCATATGGATAATGTCGAAAATCTTTATTGACTTCGGTACTGAATCACGTGAGATCCTGACTCAGCAATAGAGTGAATTGGTATCTTATCTGACAATCCCTCAGATGGTTTCTCATATCCAAATTGGCGTTAATGTGAAAACTGCTCAATAATCGACAAATTATCTGCAACAACAAGGGTATGAAACTTTCCGGTCTCAATTGTTCATTTTATAATGTAGATAAAGTTTAGTGGTTTCTGAGTACTGGAAGACATCGCTGAAGTTACTATATGACGTCACACTGCTGCATCTGTATGTTACTGTCACACTCCGGCAGCAGTTTGTAACTTAACCTGCCTAGCTAGATCGTGACGTACCATATACTAACAAGATGCGATTCTTTTAACCTGCGTGACTGCTTTCCGCGATCCACTTGTCCTACTGGCTTCCTTTGTTATTCACTTACACCAGGAATGTTAGTGTTTCCAACCAGACATGGTGCCCTATGTTTAAACCGAGTGAACTTTCATCCCTCAAATCTGTTATTTATGCGAGCTCTCCAAGATGCCTATAACACGCAGCTCCTTTTGGTTTTAGCATGTGTGCGAGCCGAACAAATAGCTGGCCAGGCTGATATAATTGCTTCACTCTCATTGGATGTGCTCAAGGGAACCGCTTCAGCTATGAATCCAGGTAGGTAACGCCTCATGCAGCCTTCCACGCATGTAATATTCCGGTGATGTCACAAACTCCCTTGCCGTGGATAACTTACACACTAGCTGGGAAACGCGGACTGGAGCTTCATTTTACGTAGAACTATACTACCCAAACGAACAGAGCATGGCTGTTTCGAGTTCTTACAGTAGACTCACAACTGAATAATGATAGGCGAATACTTCGGCAGTGAAACGGGTTTATTTACCCCTAAGGAGCCATCTTAAGTTTACTAAATCTTTCGCGCACATTCCTTGAGGCAAACAGTATGGACATATAGCAAGACAAAGTTCCCCTCTTGCGCTGCACCGAATGACCACGATGGAAGGTGGTTCAATGAACAGGATTTCCTTTGGGATATTTCTAGTCAACTTTCGAATTTGTCTGGACGCCATCAAATCTTTCGTACTACAGTGAAGGACGGTCAGAGAGAACTCTGTTTCCGAAATTTCCTTATCCTTGGGGGACGTTATTGAGCACTTTGCACCAAGTGGAAGAGAAGCAATAGACTCCGGTTTCACTCTTGTTAAAGCTCGCAGACAATTCATATTCTTTGCAATGTAGGAAGCTTCACTCATTATATCTGACTGACATGCAAGCTAATTTTGCCACGGTCGATCAATTAACGCACAGTGGCAGGAATGCCGCTCGGCCGAACCACCTTGACTGCTTCTGGGTTTTAACTCCGGGAGACAAGCGCACCATTTATAATTTGGTCTCATACATATTTTTCCACTGAGGTCCACGTCAACTTTGCAGTGTTACTTAGCTCAAAAAGGAGCGAAAACAATTTCTCGTCTTCACCACGGTGATAATTAGCTGAATTGACCTCACACTTATCGGAATAAGATTGATCCAACGGTAGTTATTTGGAAACAGATGGGTTACAGCCTTACAGTTGTGAACTCCCTTCACAGGTTAAGAGTTGATAGCTGGAAATGCCTTTAACTTAATGCCTAAACGGCTCACTCTCGAGTATTACTTGACGATCTCCTTGCTAATTCAGCAAACGTCTTTCAAGAGCAAACAGCGGAAGAATATGAGCTCATGTCATGATAAAGTGGACTCTGAAGCATGACGTGCATCTTTCAACTTTTCAAGCAAAACAGAGGGAAACGCTCTTGTTCGTCTGTTTCCCCAGCAATTAATCTATCCTGCTATTAGGATGTTACGAAGTCAGCCGCACTTGACCTCAGTGAATATCAGTTATGACGCACCATTCGGAATCGCATTGTCGAGACATTATCCAAACATTTGCCAGTTGTCCCAACCGACAATAGAAAAGGTGTTACCCGATCTATGTAGTACTCTGTTCACCAGGGATATGGCATTCGCGGTTCCACTTATATCTTAAAACGATGCTCATTATATACGTGATAAAACAGTCTTTTATTGCATCCGAATGTCATTATCGTGAATGCAAACCAGTTTCTCGTCCTGCTTGTGGCGTAGGATGCCATAAGAGAAGTTAACGTCCGTATGCGATTCAGGATTTCTGTACAATAGCGTTGGAGATAGAACGAAACTATCTGACATCTGTACGGGCCTGAGATGGACAATATGGTTGCTATCTTTTGGCTGTGTTGCTTTGGATTAGCACGCAATGTACTCGTTACCTGCCTTCGAGATAGAGAGTTCATTCCAATACTTAATTGTCTGTTCTCCAATGCTAAAAGCTCATCCTACTGGTCTTCACTTGTCGCCAGTCGTATGTCGATTGTTTTCACATATGGGCTATTCATGTGTGCAGTTCTACCAAGCAAGAAGTTTTTGGTTCAGAACGATAACCACACTCCTAGACAGCAGTAACGGCATTAATACTGTCTTACATCCACAATAAGCTTACTTTAAAGTCCATACGTTGAGGAGAAAGAGAAAAATAAACATGAGCCGATGATAACATAACTATACAACCGGTGCGCATTTAGAATCTGGTTGAAGCCTGATATATCATCAACATCATCATCATTCATCATCATCGACAACATATCAATGTTCAACACTGATGCTGCCTTACAGAACATCTCCAGGTCCGCGTGTACTTTTGGCGCTATACTGGTGACAGCTTCCCGTGGAAGGACAGTGAAATTCTTCGGTGATATTACTTCCTTTATTGTAAACCTTTAGGAATGAGAACAATGTCACATGTATATCCAAGTTTAAAGACCTTCTCCTTATTAGATTTGTTATTTTCTCAGTAAAAAGGAGGATAGACATCGAAAGAGCCGTATTACTTTTCGAAAAAAAAATCACTGAGGAAAGGCTGTTGAAAGTCACGTACATTCTGGTTTATACCCCGGAGTAGCGATTTTGAGGAGCGTATTTTATTCAAGCACCTAGACCATTTTCTACTAGGAATGAACAGAGAAACTAACGTGCTAACAACATGAAATGCGCCTGTTAAATAACGGAGCACGAGTATTGCGAACCATTTTTATATTGGGCGTTGTTTTGACAGCTACTGGAGATTGAAAAAGGCAGCATTCGTAAGTACTCCGAGAATACTCCAGACAACCTTTGTCAAGAATGGAAATGACTTCGAAAATGAACTTGGTAGATGGTCTATCCAGCAAGCGGTTTGTTACGAACATTCATTCCACCTTCTCGAAGACTGTAAAGGAAGAATTTCCATCTCACTAATTAAACTCGGTGTAGGTCTCGCTCAGGAACGTTCTGTCAATCCAGGGAACTTTTGGGTTAGAAAGCGCACCAACCTTTTGAAATTTCTCGTTTTGTCGTGAAATCTGAATTTGTGAGCGCATAATCACTTGGACCAGGCAGTCTTACCATTGATCGTGGGTTCCATTTTCCATAATCCGTCTACAGAATTCTGCCCTCGCTTGAATCCTTAAATACTCACATGATATTTGATCCCACACAAGCTGACTCACCGACGGAAAGGCGACTACGTATGATGTGTTTCCGGATTAAATTTCCCGATAGCGTTTTCCATAGTTTGTTCTTGTGTCACGGAGTATCGATAATAAAATACTGATAATGGAACAACATTATTTCAGTTCAGTGATAACTTTAAAATAGTCTAAATGATTTCGTCCTTAGTGCATGATACCTGTGCCATCGTAGAATTTTGCGGTACACTTCTGTAAAGTATAGCTGAAATCTGCTGACAAGGGCAGCAGGGTACTGCATTACTTGTAACAGCCCATGATCATGAGTTATGGATCACAAAAGCAGGAATAAAGCTCCACTTAGTATGCGACATGTGTGGACTGAATGCATTCAACTGACCAAACAAATGAGAGAAAATGAGACCGTAACGCGACCGAGATTCCAATTTGACCAATCAACCTGCCTGAAAGTCACCTCGTGAATGACCAATCACATAAGAATTATCCGGTACTGTTTGGAAGAAGCGTAGTTCATCAAATCAACCTTGAACTGACGATGTCGGTGACACATCTGAAACCCAGTTCCAAGCTCGGCGGTACTGTTTGGAAGAAGCGTAGTTCATCAAATCAACCTTGAACTGACGATGTCGGTGACACATCTGAAACCCAGTTGCCAAGCTCGGCGAGCAGACCAACTATCAGGAACAGGCCTTTGGCACAGACGCCAAGCCAACAGGAAACTGAAAACTATGCCTGAGATAGTGCAGTCATAGACGTTCAGAGAAAAGATTTTGTGGAAATTTCAGTACCAACTTTCCGCGGGGTGCTTTCGTATAGAGAAATACGGTGATAAAGAAATTCAGTGTCCCTCTAAAACAGTAGAATGCCGAAAGGGATACCGTACTATATTGAGTAGGGTAGTCTGTAGAAAATTATCTAAACTAGAAAATTAGCAATAAGATCTTCATTGAGCAGTAAGGGAAATGAATGAACAGTTCTCTCTTATAGCTGATCCTGTATGTTCTTTGCTGAGTGTGTGAGAACCAGCCAGTTACTTCACACTCAATGATGTTGCGTGGCCTGGGGTTGTGTTGGTCTAAGCTGATCCTTTTTTACATTTCAAGATGTTGACAGAGTTCGACCACACGAAGGACAAAGGAAGGTAGCGAAACGCATCCGATCGATGTTAACTAACGAACTTTACCACTCGGAGTTGGCAGGTAAGTTCCGGCATCTTTTTTTCCAGCTCCGTTTTGTAAACACGATGGAATTTCATATTAATCACATATCCTATTCGTGCAAAACACAAACAAGGAAGTTTCAGGGGGGTATTTATCTGGTAATTCTGCGAGATACCGCCCGGAATTAATTCAAATTTGGTTCTAAACACTGTTTTTTAAGACAGTTTGGAGCGATTATGAAAGAGTCTTTTAAGGGATACAGAAGCTATATTACAAAAAAGAAAAAAGACTTACACAAATGGTCCTCTCTGGACCCAATTTCCTGACATAAACGTCATATTTAAAGCTGCATCTATTTTGGAAAAAACTTCCATATAAATCTCCCCTGCGCCCATTTGCATCTTATAGAAAGATTTGTCATGCATAAATTAACCATAAATCTCGAGGACTATGACCACGGCTAAAATATTGTCAGGGGAAATCGTCTGTGCGTCTCATCTGGTCTTCTTCAAGGGCCATTTTACTTGCATTTCATTAATCCCAGTAACTCATTGGTCAGAGTAATTAGTAACATCAAGTAAGAATAATCTAGCAGAAGATTAAGATGGTTTAACGTTTTTTTTCACAGCCCAGAACACCTGTTTTTCACCCTATCGTTTGATGCAGAGACACTTTTAGGCACGCTGACAAGCGCAGGAAATGGGGAATTCTTAAAAATCCATTTCTCGATATTTTAGGTGTTGAATCAAACCATCGTATAACTGACTTGTGAAAGTAGCCAAACTGATACGTAAGATTTATGTGAAGCGAGTCCCCTAGGGTGTCACTGATCATAAGCAAAAGCTACTTATAGGTCATATCGCCGCTGTAAACTTTTTTGAGTAATCAGTGAATATGTCTCCCTTCTTGGTATTAAAGTTGACCTTTGATGCCAGTGTCACCTTACTACGAACTCGTATAGGTGATGGATAATTTGCGACAGTAGTCCACTTTGGTCCCCACCCACACTTTAATCCAACAGTAATTCTTAAGGTCTTGGTAACTGAGTTTTATCTACTTTTGGCTTTCACGTGTTGGCGCTTGTTGTAAGATTTATTTTCCTGCACTCAATATACTCATGCTTCTCTCTCGGCTCGTACAGAAAGCCATCGTTACTGCTCCAGAGTTCAGGATGCCTACACCCTCCGTTGCTGCCCACAAGTTCATGGCATCGTCTATGATACCATCGAGTTTGTCCGAAAAATATTAACTGTTGAGATGAACAGTGCGACGGACAATCCGGTAAGTAGATTTGACTTAACTAGTGCATCAACTTATTGGCATAAATAATTCCGCAGTCCAACACTATGTGGAGAACCAGAACCGATGGTTAATCTCATGGATTTGCGTTGCCTCGTTGCAGGGCCCTTGCCTTTACACAGCAATCAGGCTACAGACCGCACTAGTTGTATACTCGCCTGTTGGTAGTTTTGTCACGTTCCTCACCAGTGTAGGATACACCGCAAATGTGGGTTTGGGTGGAGAATCCCTATTGTTCTACTGGGGATTTTATGGTTTACAAGGTGTATCTAATAAGTTTATCGTAATTGGTAGGTTACTGAATGTTTCTCACCTTACTTGATTAATCAGCTTGGAATGCAGCTGCTTTGTGGCCCCTACTCTTCGCATTTGATTAACTCGAATAACTCCTTTTCAGCACTTACATTCTCCCCTTCTGACTCGTCAGTGTCATTTTTACTTGGCAGTCTGCCAGTCTTCCATTTGATTGGTTGGCTGGACAATATGTTCCATTGGGTTTCTTTCATTGATCTGACTGTGCTCACCCTTCGTGATAAGATATCCATTAAATACCTGCTGATTTGTTTTTGATGGGAAGCTCAACTGAATCTCGCCGAATCTCTCGTGGGTGATGTTCAGGTGGGACATAATGTTGATGGACACTTGAGGACTGTGCTCAGCTGATGAGCCACAAGATGAGCGAGTCCGGTAGTCGGGTGTCGAAAAATCCTCAGCAAACTTGACATTCCCGTGTTTTCCCCACCGTCTCTGTTGGTTATTTCACTACAAGGCATCTATGAGCTAGACGGAATTCAATAGCTGTTTACTAGTTATCCACCGCATTTTTACACACACATTTCCTGGTATGCGGTTTGATTCCTCGTGCTGATTTCCAACCGGGAAAAAGTAGGAAGATACATACAATTCCAACGACAAAGATTTGTACGCTTGTTTTGGTGGTCATCAGGATGAACATGGACTTAATTATTCTAGTGACCTTATCAAAAACCTGAAGAAAGGCAGCTGGTCACCAGAGAAGCCCATAACTGGTTTCCTGAAGCTGGTTGGGTTTACAAACTCTGTGTACGTTTCCCAATGCCATTGGAATGAAAAGAGAGCGTTTCTTCTCTAATAATACAGCCGTGTTTGAAGTACACCAATTTGTGCTCAGGAGATAAGGAAATAGAAAAAACGTAGGTGTTGTGCAAATAGCCGCCTTAGCAGGTTAACTACTGAGAACCGCTAAATTATCCTCGTTTTCTAAACACGTGACAGCAAATGCACATTTCGGAGTGGTTTGAGTAGTGAATTTCCCTTGTTCACCAGTGCAAAACCGGTCGTGGAACTGACAGAAAGTCTTACTGAATGTGTATTTTTGTCTTCTGTGAATGGTTTATTTGAGGATAGATGTATCGACAAACAGATACTTATGCAGATATTGTGCTCTTCTATTGTGCAATTACATCTTTCTAAATTGTCTAAACTATCTGGATCCAAGTCTGTAATGTGTCACTTTAACTTGCATGCAATATTCAAAAAATCTATGGACACCATTCAAAGCTCAAGTGAGTGGCTTGTAAAGTCAAGGACATGAATGATAGACCCAGGAAAAGTGACAGTTTTTGGCACCAGGAATACCATTCGCGATACTGTTATGCGTAGTTCACACACTCCAATGGAAAGTTAGCCACAACTGGAATGCAAAAAAGTTTAAAGTCGAGAAGTGAAGGAATGTAAGACGGCATGGAGTCTCGCAGTGTATCAACTCAACGAAAAACACCTGAACTGAAAGAAATGCAAGCTTAGTGTCTCCATACGGCGAATTTCCAAGATAATCCACATTGAGGAATTCCGAAAAGCCATCTGGATTGATGAATCTTATTTAAGGCTGCACGGAATTTCTCTCAAGTATGATTGACGATCCACACCATCAGTCACGAGCCTTTCAAAGCCGATCGGGGGTGTTTGGTCGGTGGCAAAGGTAATTGTTGGTCTGAGCTCGTGCAGTCGTGCGTTCACTAGTCATGCACGATTGGATGTTGAGCTAAACTCTGGGTGCAAGAAAGTTTGCAGACTAGGCCCGTTCTCAGCTGCGTTGAATCCGACAGAAATCATTCCGACTATTTCAAGGCCCATGTGAAGATAGATGTACCAATAGCTACGAGTAAACGATTAAATCCGATTCGGACTGAGTTGGTGGCACATAATACTTCTGGTTTGCTTTGGAAGCAAAACCATGGTCTCCATAAAGCCAGGGTTATTCTGACGTTTAGAACCCTTCGCCACTGTGTTGGTTATACTATAGTAAATTTGTTTTATTTTTTAATTTTTCCTAGTACAAATGAGTTTGCATAAGTAATTTGCAACAGAATTTCTGGTCATAGGTGGTAAGCTAACTTTCAATATTCAGCAAATACATCAAGAGAACTTATAAGCATGACTATATAATATATATCTAATATAACTAATATTTATGATTCAACGTTAAGAGAGTGAACGATAAAATTTGCATAATCTTGCCGATGCGCTCACGACTTGTATTATCCGGAATTTCACAGTCAATGCCACAGACCATCGGCATGCGCTCACCTTAATGATACTCGGTTGTGTTTAACTGCGGCAGTTTACAGACAGCGTGGACTGAGCGCAACATTACTCTCCTATCTAAAGCTCATGGAGAATTCACGTTACTTGATTTCATTGCAACCAATCCTATTAGCAGGTTCAAAAGTTATGCACTGAAAAAAATCGTTAGAAGACTTATCAACAATGACAAAAGAAGGGAACCTATTGTCTTTTGCAAGCCCCAGTCAAATGGGCACGAGGATATCCCAGTAAACGGTCATTTCCCAGGCATTCCGATTGCACCTTGCTAGTGACTCTTATAGCCTCTAGTTTGAAGTATGTCCATGTTTACTGCATTTCAGTTGGTCTTCCCGGAGCGCCACGCGATTGTTTCTGCTGGAAATTTCCATGGTGAATACCCGGCAAAAGCACTTGACTATCTGGCAATCGGAGTTCACGAACTGGCTAATATCTCCGAAAGGCGGATTGAACGATTGGTCAATCCTGGTGAGAAAAACCATTGATCGAGTATTCTTTAAACCGATATCCAAAGGTAAACAACTTGTCCAAATATTGGTAGCTCAGATGAGCTTACTGAAGCATCAACTTACCTGCCCATCAATGAAAGCCCTGTCCGATCCAGAGGTTTCGATATATATATATATATATATATATATATATATATGACAAA